TGGAGCAAGCTTAGCGGTCCCTTGGAATATACTGAGCGCAAATGTAGCTTATACCATTTCATCTTGGCTGCTTCTCAAATTCAGTTTGGTACAATGCAGTGCTTGTGCTATTGTACACTGAACATCTCCTCCTGTATTTATCTACTATGTAAGCACTTGATTTATTTTTTTTTTATTTTTTTTTTAGGATTTTAGCCAAATAATTTTTTTAAAGTCAAGAAAATTGGCATATTTAACACTATTCATTTGTTACTGTGTTACGCTTGCGTAACAACTTTAATTTTCACCATTTCCTTCACTAAATTACAGTGGTCCTCAGTTTATCCCAGTGGTTCTACTGTTCACCCCCAAAGAGAGTTTAAATCTCCTACCAAAGCCTTTTGTGTGCATCTAAAATGCCATATTCAGTCAGTAACCCAAAACTGAATGTCTTTTTTTATTTCAGAGTTGTGGATGGTCTTACTTTTCCTTTTTTTCTCCCCTGCCCCAAATGAAAAACAGGAGAGCTGAGGACTAAAGATATTAGATTTAATTTGCGGCATCCTTGCTTAACTACCACAAATTTCTGGGCATGGTAGCAAGAGTTGAAAGTGCTTTACTCCACATTCTTCTGTCATCTCTTGGTGATGCTCTTGTAGAATATGCTGGTGCTCTATTCTTTCTGGTACAGTAATACAGGAAGTGGATATGGTAAAAGAGCAAGGAAAATGCAGAAGCAGAAATTTCTGACGTGTTACGTCGTGTCGTGAAATTAAAAGGGTAAGAAGCATATACAGAAATCTGTGCTCCTTTATAAGCAGAAACTTTATTCTGAAATACTGCAAGGTCCTGAAGCATTAGGGTCTAGTCCACAGAACGTGAAAGATGTGAGTAAATACAAGAGTGTCAACCCAAGCAGTGACAAAAATACAGGTCTTCCACTTTGCAATAGTAATCACTAGTGTGCACCTAATAGGCTGGAGAGGTGGGCCCAGGTGAACCTCATGAGGTTCAACAAGAGCAAATGCAAGGTTCTGCACCTGGGCCGGAACAATCCTCGCCACCAATACAAACTAGGGGGTGAGGTGTTGGAAAGCAGCCCTGAGGAAAGGGACTTGGGGGTGCTGGTGGACGAGAAGCTGGACATGAGCAGGCAGTGGGCAGCTGCAGCCCAGAAGGCCAATCCCATCCTGGGCTGCATCAAAAGATGCGTTGCCAGCAGGTCCAGAGAGGGGATTCTGCCACTTTGCTCTGCTGAGACCTCACCTGGAGTATTGTGTGCAGGTCTGGAGCCCTCAATGTAAGAAGGACATGGACCTGATGGAGAGGGTCCAGAGGAGGGCCACGAGGATGATCAGGGGGATGGAGTACCTCTGCTACGAGGACAGGCTGAGGGAGCTGGGGTTGTTCAGCCTGGAGAAGAGGAGGCTCCGGGGAGACCTAATAGCGGCCTTCCAGTACCTGAAGGGAGCCTACAGGAAGGCTGGGGAGAACCTGTTTAGAAAGGCCTGCAGTGACAGGACGAGGGGCAATGGCTTCAAGCTGGAGGGGAACAGATTTAGACTGGAGATGAGGAGAGGGTTCTTCACTGTGAGGGTGGTGGAGCACTGGAACAGGTTGCCCAGGGAGGTGGTTGAGGCCCCTTCCCTGGAGATATTCAAGGAGAGGCTCGATGAGGCCCTGGGCAACCTGGTCTAGTTGGGGGTGTCCCTGCTGACTGCGGGGAGGTCGGACTAGATGGCCTTTGGAGGTCCCTCCCGGCCTGGGCAATTCTATGATTCTATGATAATAGCATTAGATCTAATTGTAATATTAATCACTTTTTAGCTACAAGGCAAGTAGTCAAGAAGATTTCCTCAAAGTGATGTTAATAATGAAAATAAAGATTTAGATTCATAGTCCCAACTGCAAAATTGAAAAATCCGGTTGCAGGTTGTTTCCTTAAATACGCTTTTACCGTAATTCATTGTCAGCTGAAATGTGTACGTTATGAGGCTAAGTACTGTGTTTTGCACAACTCCGATTATTATGCTTTTTTTCTTTTGCAGCTCCAGATAAAAGCCTTTGCTTCTACTCAAGTACTTGAAAAGTTTGATGTTACTGTTCTGAAGGTTGAACTGTAGATGGGTTGTATCTGGGGAATTGTTGGTTCAGGAGCACTAGAAGTGTTCCCTTTGACTGGGGATGGGTTGTATCTGGTGAATTGTTGGTTCAGGAGCAGTAGAAGTGTTCCCCTTGACTGGGGATGGGTTGTATCTGGTGAATTGTTGGTTCAGGAGCAGTAGAAGTGTTCCCCTTGACTGGGGATGGGTTGTATCTGGTGAATTGTTGGTTCAGGAGCAGTAGAAGTGTTCCCCTTGACTGGGGATGGGTTGTATCTGGTGAATTGTTGGTTCAGGAGCAGTAGAAGTGTTCCCCTTGACTGGGGATGGGTTGTATCTGGTGAATTGTTGGTTCAGGAGCAGTAGAAGTGTTCCCCTTGACTGGGGATGGGTTGTATCTGGTGAATTGTTGGTTCAGGAGCAGTAGAAGTGTTCCCCTTGACTGGGGATGGGTTGTATCCGGTGAATTGTTGGTTCAGGAGCAGTAGAAGTGTTCCCCATGACTGCCCCACGGGTGGCTTCATTCAGTTGTTACGGCCGAGTCCGTGCTGCTCAGTGGGAATACATTTCTGCTGTTGGCTTTGGGGAAGTCTGTAGCTTTAAATTTGTGTTGAGAAACTCTTGAATCAATGCTACACTGCTCAGAACGCCAGTTTTAAGTTGATGATTCTCTATGCCCATACTATTTTTTTTTTTCTTGAATGTGTGTATAAATATGACAGGCTGAGGGAGCTGGGGTTGTTCAGCCTGGAGAAGAGGAGGCTCCAGGGAGACCTAATAGCAGCCTTCCAGTACCTGAAGGGGGCTACAGGAAGGCTGGGGAGAGCCTGTTTAGAAAGGCCTGCAGTGACAGGACGAGGGGCAATGGCTTCAAGCTGGAGGGGAACAGATTTAGACTGGAGATGAGGAGAGGGTTCTTCACTGTGAGGGTGGTGGAGCACTGGAACAGGTTGCCCAGGGAGGTGGTTGAGGCCCCATCACTGGAGATATTCAAGGAGAGGCCCGACGAGGCCCTGGGCAACCTGGTCTAGTTGGGGGTGTCCCTGCTGACTGCGGGGAGGTCGGACTAGATGGCCTTTGGAGGTCCCTTCCGGCCTGGGAAATTCTATGATTCTATGATTCTATGAATATCAGTTTAAAAAAAAAAAGAAGCACAGCACAAAATAGCTTTTCTTTTCCCTCCCCCTCTTAAAAATGTCTAGTTTACAGTAACTGAAGCAGATGCTGGCTAAGCCCACAGTTACCGTTAGAAATATAATAGCTATTAATCTTCTGGACTTATTATTCTTCCATTTCCCTCATTGTCATTGAGTATTTGTCCAAAAAATACTTTGTTGCAGCTGGAAGGCTTTTATGTGATCTTCCTGTTAGCTGTGTAGTGGATAACAGATACACAAAAGGCTGTCAGCAAGTGAAAAGTAGGGAGGAGGTGGAGGTCATAGTGAAATTGTTTGGGTTTTGTATTATTTTAGCTATTCTTTATCAGTAGCTTCAGCAGCTCAGAGGATGCTCTGAGACTTGACCTCTCATTATTTTATACGTAATAGGTAGACACGCTGCTTTAAAAATGTAGAGTTTAGTATGTGTAGGCCTATGCAGCATATATAACACTGTCAGTACTGCTAGGAATGTAATTTGAGGAGAAAAATCTTTTCACATGCTTTCTTTTTTCCCCATGATGCTGAGAGTATGTCTGGGTTGAAATGAAATGGCCAGCAGCTGGTACTGACTTCTCTGAATAGTGCTGGGGGAAATGCTCAGTGTAAATACTGGCATTAGCACAAGGGTAGAGTGACCACAGCTACCTGCCTCGTAGAGCAAGGAGTTAGATTTGGTTATCAGCTTAGGTTCCTATTGCACAAGGAGGGTATTTTTTCGAAGTTGAGGACAGTATTTTGCTGCCTTGCATCTGACAAAGAAGTTTCCCTTTGCTTTGAAGCTCATCTGACAAAGAAGTTTCCCTTTGCTTTGACGCTTTGCTGGAGCGGGTCCAGAGAAGGGCAACGAAGCTGGTGAGGGGTCTGGAGCACAAGTCTTGTGAGGAGAGGCTGAGGGAGCTGGGGGTGTTCAGCCTGGAGAAAAGGAGGCTGAGGGGAGACCTTATTGCTCTCTCCAACTCCCTGAAAGGAGGGTGTAGAGAGGTGGGGGTCGGTCTCTTCTCCCAAGTCACAGGTGACAGGACAAGAGGAAATGGCCTCAAGTTACACCAGGGGAGGTTCAGGCTGGATATTAGGAAAAATTTTTTCACTGAAAGGGTTCTCAGCCATTGGAATGGGCTGCCCAGGGAGGTGGTTGAGGCCCCATCCCTGGAGGTGGTCAAAAGACGGGTTGATGTAGTGCTGGGAGGTCTGGTTTAGTGATGGTGATGCTCCTTGTTTGTTGTGTGGGTGTCTATTTTTGTCAGTGAGGGTGACGGTTGGACAAGATGATCTTTAAGGTCCCTTCCACCCTAGAAGATTCTGTGATTCTGTGATTTGTTAGACTTTTTTTAAAAGAGAAATTATTTGGCACTCTTTTGGCTGTTTGGTGGGCTTACAAACAGTGTTGTGATGAGGAGCATAATAGTTTTCGAGCTTGAACTTTGGCTTTTTCCTGTGATGCATAAGCAATTGGATGAGTGTTTTAGTCTTTGAATTGGGGTGTGCCTTTTGTATAGCTGGCAAAAGACTCTAACCAGCTTTCCTTCAACAATTTGAGTAAAAGTGTGCTGAATTGGTGGGAAATGGCCATTGCTGCATTAGGGAAAAAAATACTGCAGAGTAACACACAATTATCTTGTGACAATTTGTGTCTATTAGGAAATAAGACCAGAAGCACGTTGCATGGCTGTCAACAAGTAAAAATATCAGCACCATTTGGAGTAAATGTAGATGCTGTTTTTGTAGCACCAGTAACACTTTTTTGTTTTTTTTTCTGTAGGTTCTTGATTGTTACAGACCATTTGCTGAAGTGTCCAGAGTTGGTAGAAGCCCTCTATGCCAAACTGAGCAATCAAGAAAGGTAACCCCAAAAACCAATGTGGCTTTTAGTATTTAGCATTCCATATAGAGTATCCTGTTCACATGATTGAAAAACTGTGTGGTTTCATAGTTGGCACAAAATCTCTAAATACATGTTTCTATGTCAGTAATGGTTTTAAATTGTTTGGTTAACATTACAGCTTAGCCACAACTGGCAGTGATTTATGTAGGGTTGCAGAATCCAGGTTGGCGCCATTACTTGGTAAAGAAATACTTCAAAAAAAAAAAAAAAAAAGGAAAAAAAAAAAAAAAGACAAGATTTTAGGTTTTTTAGGCCTGTGTCTTGATTTCATAAGAGCACCACACCCTGCAGTGTTTTACAGATGTATTTGAAATGTTCTCAGCTGTTCATGCTCCTGTTGTAATTACAAGAAATTAAAAGGAAGTCTTTACTGAAGTTGGAAGTGTCTCCTAATACTGGTTAGCAGAACCTAAAAACTGTAGGTGTGCAGATGCCCATGATGACTTAATCTTTTAGTATTTCCACTGTTTAAAATAAAAAATGCTTCAATAAACTTTCACCTTGAAAGAGTTTTACTTCGAGCATTTGACTAAACGTATGCTGAATTGATGGGAAATGGCCATTGCTATAATTTGGAAAATGCTCGTTTGCAATTGCTTTAATGAAGAATTGGGGAAGACAAAAGCCTGTTTTTTAGAGGAATTAACTTTGGGAAATCCTGTACTTATAATACTACAGCTCCTCCAAGTGCTTGAAGATCTTGTGATCTTGTTAATGTGTTCAGTAGGGCTACTTTGTTCCCCATTTGCTCAGTGAAACTGCAGGTTCCTCCTGTATTTTTTTGTTGGTGAAAGATGAACCAATGTACAAAGCAGTCCCTTAATGGTTTGGTTGGGTTTTTTTCTGTGTTTTTTGCTGTGACTAAAGCCACAGTGTTACTACAAATGGGAGTACGGATGCTGATTGGACATTATAAAGAAACAAAAGGGATGGCAGGCAAAAAAAGAGTATATGATGGGTTTACAACCATAGATAATATATCATTAATTTGTAGGTATGGGATGGAAAACAAGGAATGATACGGAGGGAACTACTGTCTTTTCTCCTTTATTTGGGTTGCCAATATGGGAATGAGTATGTGCTGTGTGCTAACTGTGCCTTGAGGGGAGGGGCTTCTTAACCAGTTAGCAGGAAAGCCCAATTTAAGTGAAAGACCTAGATTTAATTCTTTCGGAGGATGTCATGAATGACAATTTGTTTGTATGTTTTCATAATCTCCTTGAGGGCAGCCAGGACTGGGTTAGGGTGGTCAATTGTACTTAAAAGCAGTTGATGTCATTAGTTTCTAGAAAGGTCACAGCTGGATTTGTCACACACACACTGTGCTATAGGCTGTGAACAGCTGCCTTGACTGAAAGGCTTTTGGCCTTTGGGATGATCACTTGTGGGATGGCTGGTCACAGCATATTGGCTGAATTTATTATCAATCCCAAGAGTCCTGTAAATCAAGTAAACTCAGCTAAGTTTGTCAAAAACATAATCACAGTTCAGTTTATTATGAATTTGATCCTACTGCTTAATTTACTGTCAAACATGTGGAAGTGGTGTAGAAATAGTCCTTTTGCAGCTGAGCTATAGAAGAAAATCCTACTGCGGCATCCTCCTGTATAATGTTAGCATATTTAAGAATGCATTCTTTTGAGATATATGAGGAGACAAATCCAATTCAGATAAAAACATTTTGACTGTCATCACCTGAAAAATGTAACTGTATAAATCAAAGCATAGGGAATTCATTGTGTCAAAAGGAGACAAGGAGCCTTCACCACAAGAGTTGCTGCTCTGGGTGTCCAATAAAGCTGACTAAGACATATAAATGAAGAAAGGACAGATGTGGTATTGAGGTGTCTGGGGAAAGCAGCTTGAGCTCATGAATATGTGGTAACTCTCAGTTAGAAGATTCTTTATCATGCATATTAAATGCACTTATTTTTAAATGTATTTACTGAAACAAAATTAACTATGCGGAGAAGGTTTGCAAATACATAAATTAGTGGTGACTCTTCAAGTTGGCAGTTGCCATAGATAATGGAAGTATATACAGTTGCATGGCCACAGTTATTTGCACTATTCACTGTATTTGCACTATTCAAAGTATTTCCTGTAATTGAAACCTAGTGCATTTGTGATACAGTGGCCATGGTGCATGCCATGAAATAGTTATTGTTGTGGAAGTGGATCTGGAACGTGAATTTTCAATGAAAAGACAAATTCCTGACTTCTGGACAACTTTCTCTTTCATTTCCAAACAAATTGAAGCACTTGGGTGTTGCGTGTCTGAGTTTGCAAATGCTCTGACATAAATACTGTGAGAATATGATCAGCTTTTTAAATGATATTCTGGCACTGAAAAGTGTCTGATGATGTGACAATGCCTGCTGGTTCTCTGCAAGTGATTCTTGTAGAAACATACAGCTATGATATTGAGCCAAAAAGATTGTAGATTGTTGAACTCCTTGCCAGATTTGAGATTTCCCGGTGCGTGTGTGCAAGTATTTGACAGAAGTATTTAGAAAAAGCCTGCTTTGCTTTAATCCAAGGTAGCCTTGAGTGTGGACAAGAGAAGTTAATGCCTTGATAGTCTTAATTACGTTGTGAAATCTTCAAAATGATCGAAGATATTAAAATCTGATTTGCCCCTTTTAAAAAAAGGGTCTTGCTTTAATTAACAGCAACAAAAATGCAACTGAATAGCTTCAGGTGTTTTTAAGGTGCTCAAATACTTCCATCTTCAGTTTTGATTTTTGTGTTATTTCGTATGAAGTGTTCTCAGGGAATGATGTAGCTGGGAAATGGGCTCAGGTAGTCTAAGTGGCACCACTTCTTGCTTATGTTCAGCTGCAAGGCTGCTAATGTCAGTATTGTGGTGGGTTTTGGTTTTTTTTTGGGTAATGCTCATAGACACAGAATAGCTGAAGGTAGCATCAGATTATAGTCCTTCACAAATTTATCAATTTTTATTTAATAGGATGTTTACAAGTATCATTTGATGATGAAAGAAGTGAAAATGTTGAGGAAGGACCTAATTTGTCTCCTGGAACCATTGCTGTCAGTGAAGGGTTTCAGGAAAGAGAAGTCCCAGTCTGGGAGATAGCATGTCCCAAGTGGTACCTGCTAAGAGGTTATAAACCAAGTATGCTTGATACAAAAATTGTTTGGCAATAACAAAATTGCTAGAATTTTACAATACCATTTTTAGACAGGCTTAACAGGACTTGACTTCATTTTGTAATAATGAGCTTCTAGATATAAATTGCACTTTAATGCTGATTTGCAGACTATAGGAGACAGCAATGTGTTGTACTGATGACTGCAAATACTTTATAGTAATTGTTCTAAGTTCTTGCTAATTTGGTTAGCTTCAGGAAGAACTGGTTTAAATTTGGCTAAGGGGAAAAAAAAGGCAAGAGATTGACAAAAAGTCTTCCTAAGTGGGGTCTAAAGAAAAGGAAGATGACACAGCATGATCATTTCCAAGTAGAAATACAATCATTAATACAGTATACAGAATTGTATTTTAGATATTGAACAGTGTCACAAAAATTCATGAGACGTGCTAAAACTGGTACTAAGAGTTGTCACATCTCTTGTGCTTAGCTGTAGGCAAACAAGTAGGAACAAACTGCCATCTGAATGGCCAAACGGTTGTGAGATCGTTTAAAAGAAATGAGCAAATTGCATTGTGTGGGGGAACTAACTTGGAAAAATTCGGGTGAGTCTTGGAAGAAAAACTGAGCCAAACAATAGAAGAAAGGAATGTAAGGGAACTTGCACCAGAACAAAAAGTGTTGCTCTCAGGAAACTGTTGGCTGAATGGCAAGACTTGCTTGAAATTCAAGGGAAAGATGGGCATGTCCTGGAAGAAAACTCAGGAAAACAGTTTTGACACGAACACCTAAAGAGAACAGAAAAATTTTTAAAAAAATTACATACCGTTGGTGTTTTAATTTCACTCCTGTTTCTCTGGAAGGATTATGGTTGTCTAAAAGGGCACCCGATTATATTGCAAGAGGAAGAGTAATGCCATAAACTTCCCTATTGGCAACAATTTCATCTCACTAATACAGTTTAGGGAGGTATGTGGTGACCCTCCAACTTCTTTACAGATTGCTTTTCACTTTTAAACATGTATTATTTGGATGATGGTGCAACAATAGCTGAATGGAATTCTCTTATGCTGGAGATATTTTATTGGAATTATTCCTGTAATGATAAAAGTGTGTGAGCAGCCTGTTTTCTTAGCTCAACGTATGCTTGAAAGGCTCTAAGCTTGGTAAAAACTGGCAGGTAAAATCTAGCCTTGGCTTGGGGGTGAAGGGCATGTGTGTGCCCTTGGTTTTTGTGTAGCATGGCAAATCTGAATTTGTTCAGTTGGGGGTGTTGTGTAACTGGTAGTTTGTAGATGGGCAAGTGTGTGGTACCCAGCTGTAACCTGCAGGACAAGCAGAACCACTCTCTCTGTGAGAGAGGTTACTAGTGTTTGACAGCTTTCTGTTGGGAGTCCACCCTTTCCCAAACTTGAGTGCATTTCTGTGCTACCCTATTGAAAAAGCTTTTTGTCCTCATTCAGATAATTGTTTAATGCAGCTGTATTAATGTCGGTGAGGGCCGAGTTGAGCAAGAACTGAGTAGCTGTTACGTGATTAATAGAGGTGGGTTCTTGGAGGTTAATAAAGCAGTGACCATGCTTTTTCCACAGAAAAAGACATTTCTCTTCCCCTTGTGACAACACGCTTGGTAAATTTAAAAAAAAAAAAAGAAAAAGCATTTAAACTATTCCACATGTTTAAATGTCAGTCCTTCCATCTGAATTGCAAATATTTGAGTGAAAGAAAACCCTGAGCCTGCTCTTGAATTCATTCAATAAATAGTGCTCTTTCAGGTTGAGAGAATTACAGTGGGACTTCACTAACCCGTGTGCTCCTCCATGCTGGAAAAGTCCTGCTTCCACAAAATACTCCTAGTTTGCCCTAACAGCATGAAGGGATATTGGAAATAAAATGACATGAAAGGTGTTAAAATAAATGACCCAACTACGCTTTATAGAGCAGCTTCCTTACACGTCCACTTACTTGCTGGTTTAATACACTAAGTGACTCTTACTGGGTGTATAATTAACTTGGGCTTACTGTAATCCAGCTAGTGGCAATTATAAAACAGCTGTAAAGAACCAAGTGTGCATATCAATTTTTATTTCCCTCCTTTCTGCTCAGAATTGGTTTGAGGTTGGGGAGGAGAATTAGTGAAGGACTGTGTGCAAGGCAAGGGCTGTGAAAAGCTGGTATTTTCAAACGGAAGCTGTCAAATAGTCTGTGTTTATTTTGCTGAACTTAACAACCACTTTTAAGAGCTGTTTTGGTGGAAATTTTAGACATAGGGAATATGCAGTCACAGTAATGTTGTGTTAGGACATAAGAAATTAGAAATTGAAATAGACTTGAGAAAAATATTGACTTGACTGTCTGGCCAGATTGTATTAATTGAATGATGAATTAAATTAATGGTGTGCAGAAATAAACTAGCAAACAGGAACTGATGCCCAGTGTTCATAAGGCTTCTTAATTTTTAAAATCAGCTCTGTTACTAGCATGCTAATTGTCTGTATAATTCTTAACAACTGTATCTGCTGATTCTACTGATAATTCTAGATGGCTTAGTGAATTTGATTAACAAGTTGTTTTCTGATTCTAGAGTTACTTTGTTAGAGCTGATGTTGGAGAAAGTAAGTGAGAAGAACCCAGTAAACAGTGAAGAAATGAACGTCTTCATGAGTCATGCTGAATTCCTTGCAGGCTGTTTCCAGGAGAAATGTGAAGCTGTGCTCAAGTTGACTTCTGCAGCAGATGCAGAAGATGAGGTATGACTGATGAAAAAACACTATAGTACTAGAACCCAAAGTGGTGAATCTTCGTGGCCACTCTTGCCCAAGTGGCACTTGTGTACATTCTCAGTTTACTTGGATTTTCTGTTATGTTCTTCATAGGGATCGCTTCCATAATTTATTTGGGTTGTGAATTATATTTTATTCAAATATTAATCAAAACTTGAAATATTTATAGATGGGAAGCAGCATCTCTTTTTTTCCCCCTGTGCCCTCTCCCTCTCCCCCCTCCCCTTCAAAATTGGGGTAAAATTTGAGTAAACGCTTTTTCTCCAGCAGTACTAAAGTAAGTAAATCTCAGAGGTGTGGGGGGTGTGTGTGTCAGAACATAAATAACTGATGATAACTTGATAATACATCATTAAGATTCTAGATAGTAGTTCTTTGAAAAATGCATTTGGCTACTTGTAAGGCAGATGTTCCTGATCTGTTAGGGACCTCAAAACATCAAGTTGTGATCATGGAGAGCTGTGGGGTGTATGTAATCAGCTTGGTGCAGGGGGGGCTGTCTGAAACCTATAGTGATCCTTCCAGCAAGTGAGGGCTTTTGTCACTGACTCTTCCCTCTTTCCCAATGATTTGGGGATCTCAGGTGGACCTTGCACAGCTCTGACAAGGTGGCACTCCTAGGGCTAGCTGGTGTCCAGGGCATCAAGTTGCATGGCTTGCTGGGATCTTAGTGGCAGTCGACTCCTATCTCTGTCACCCAGACACTTGCCCCAACTCTAGTCCACTTGGAAGAAGTCTGTTATTGCTTCAGAGTTAATGAACTGGTTCTGTTGAGGATGGCCATAATGAAGTCCCTTTGCAAACTAAAGAGGAAGGCTTTTATGGGTCACAGATGGTTTGTGGGTTGCACTTGGGGGAACGTCTGGTGCAGAGCTGAGTCCTGGATGGCCTTATTTTATTTCCTTCTTATGAAGTATCCAAGAGTTGCTGGCTACTTGCCACACCATACACTGCACTGAGGGGGTTTAGGCCATCTAAGGGTAGAGGTCTTTTCAAATCATCTGGTGTTCTATTTTTCCTCTTACTTTCAACAAGCTGTTTGAAGATCTAACAATGCCTTTGGGAATGCAGAAAGCAACTTGCACCATAACTTGCAGTGACCTTATTTGTGTTGTGTTAGTCCATGGTATTGTGAGCAGTTAGTGCCAGGTCCTATTGGTCTCAGTTCTTGATCCTTCTTATATAGATAAAGTTTTAAAGTTTTCAGCTGATTTTAGGGGTGAGTTCTCTCATTTTTTTATTTTTTAAATTTTTTTTTTACTACAGTTAGCCAGAAAACTGAGAAATCTAATATGTTTTCATCAAACATAAAATTAGTTAGTCACTGATTCTCACTGATTCATCATGCTTAGTTTCAGAATTGTAATTAATGTATTTTCCTATAAAGATATTTTAAAAGATATTTCAAAAAAAGTCACATCTAGCTTCTATCTTGCCAAATGACCACAACGGTATATCGAAATTGCCTCACCCAATATACATGCAGTCAGAAGCATTTTATGCTTAAAAAAAAAAAAATTAATCTGTAATTGTTTTATTTGTAGAAACTCTTGAGAACAGTTCTCATAAGTAATTTATTACCAAAGGGAAAAATATTGATCTTCAAATCCTTTTATATGATAATGTTACAGTGTTGTACTGATTTTTGTTGCTTGAATGGGCACAAGAATTTTAAAAGTATTTTGGGAAGCGTTATGAAAAGATATTAAAAATCACTTTATGAGGAGGTGATAGTTGGATGCATTTAAAAAAAAAAAACAACCCCACACATCTGTGACATTCAACTAAACTCTGCCTGGACATCCCTGTGGCCCTGAAGCCAAGTCCCTTGGTCAGACAATGTCTGTTCTAGTAAGCTGTCTTAGCCTCCAAAATTGCAAGGCCACATTTGAAAACTGCCTTAAACTGGCTTGACTCCCAAAATGTTGTCTGGGTGTCCCATCTAGTGTTTAATTTCCTACATGTAGACATTGCCTTTTTTCCCTGAGGAACCTCAGGTCTTGTAGCTTCCATCTCAAACCAATGAAAAGCTAATCATATGCTTCTGCAGTGCTTAAACCAATGTTTAAAATAGCTTTTCCATTATAATCCTGACTTCAGCATCAGTTTGCTTTCACTAACTTTCAACCATACTTGAAAAATAAAACCTTTCACTGGATTTCAAGTTTGTATTTCATCTGTTTATAAGGAACATCTTTTCTGAGTCTCTCCTGAAATATGTTTATTTAAAAGCTCTTCAATTATTTCTTTATTTACTTTTCAAATTATAACTGAATCAAGATGACTGACAGATTTAAAAATATATTTGTGTTTACAGGAAGGATGGGGAGGGACTCTTTACCAGGGAGTATTTAGTGATATGGTTTTAAACTGAAAGAGGGGAGATTCAGATTAGATCTCAGGAAGAAATTCTTTGCTGTGAGGGTGGTGAGAGCCTGGAACAGGTTGCCCAGAGAAGCTGTGGCTGCCCCATCCCTGGAGGGGTTCAAGGCCAGGTTGGAGGGGGCTTGGAGCAACCTGGTCTGGTGGGAGGTGTCCCTGCCCAGGGCAGGGGGGTTGGAACTCCATGATCTTTAAGGTCCCTTCCAACCTAAACCATTCTATAAGTGTGTGAAATATAGTTGCGTGGAGGGGGCTTGGAGCAACCTGGTCTGGTGGGAGGTGTCCCTGCCCAGGGCAGGGGGGTTGGAACTCCATGATCTTTAAGGTCCCTTCCAACCTAAACCATTCTATGAGTGTATGAAATACAGTTGTGGTATCCTTACTTAATAACAGGACAATGATCTTTGTATTCGGTGTTGAAAGCAATTTATTGAACAACTTAGGGCAAGACCTGCACCTTCCTACACCTGTATGAGGAAAAAAAATGAAAATACAGCTTTAGGACCTGGACCCTATAATGGTTTGTTGTCTTCAAGCAGCATAGGAAGGAGCAAAGAATGGATATAATCATAGTAATTAATTACCGAACACTAATGCTGATTGTTTGAATTGTTATATTGATTATAGGGATTCAAAATTATTATACTGGTGGTAAGTAAATGTCTCTTTGTCCTGGACCAGACAAGGCCAGAAGACAAGGGCAACAAAACTAGTGAAGGGCCTAGAAGACAAATCATATGAAGAGCGGCTGAAGGAGCTGGGGCTGTTTAGTTTGAGGAAGAGGAGGCTGAGGGGAGACCTCATCACTCTCTACAACTGCTTGAAAGGACACTGTAGAGAGGTTGGTGCTGGTCTCTTCTCACAGGTAATTAATGACAGAACGAGAGGGAATGGCTTCAAGCTCCAACAGGGGAGGTTTAGATTGAACATTAGGAAGGAATTTTTCACCGAAAGAGTGGTCGGGCATTGGAACAGGCTGCCCAGGGAGGGGGTGGAGTCACCATCCCTGGATGTGTTTAAGGGCCGTTTAGATGCAGTGCTGAGGGACATGGTGTAGGGGAGGACTTTGTAGAGTAGGGGAGATGGTTGGACTCGATGATCCCAAGGGTCTCTTCCAACCTCAATGATTCTATGATTCTATGAATAGATGCTGTGACCTGTGTCCGAGTATTTTCAAGGCTTCTTGCAGTTTCTGTACCACACCTTGTGTGGAATCATCTTGCAGTCACAGTCTGGTACTTGAGCAATGTGTGGTGTTCCAAATTATGCCATACACTCTTAAGGTAATTTCTCTAAGTGCTGGATTGTCACTATAAGCATGCATCAGCATAGCCTGTGAGAGAAAATAGTCCTCTGGCTGAATAAATAATATGCAAATAAAATTGCGTGTCTCATACCTAACCAAAATGCTGCATCTATGATCCCAATCCTATTTACCCAAGAATAATGTAAATTCTCGCAGCCAAAGTTCATTTGACCACAGAACTTTACAGAATTCCTGCGGAGAACAGATTGGTGTCTTGTAGGCGGTGTTTGTGTCTTTAAAGTGGGACGCTTCTACTGGATAAACTCAAAGAAAACATTTATACAGAAATAATTTTCTCAGCTAGTAATTTTCTGCGTTTCTGCTTTTGGAAGCTACTGTGTTTTTGTTAAAATTTTATCCCTTATGGCTCTGTTTTGGTTTCCCCATGATTTTTCAGGGCACATATAACACTGATTTATTGCAGTGTAATACGTTATTGTTTTCGCAGGGAGATGTCCTCATTTTATAGAAATATATTTTTGGCAGCTTAGAAGACCTTCAAAGAACCTGAAGTGCTGAGAGTTCTTCTGTTTAGATCGTCGGTTTTATGTTCTTACGCTATTGTTCATAAGCCATTTTCAGAGATGTCATTTTCATTTCTAGGAAGCACTGGTTATGATTCGTCTTCTTGACGTTCTTTGCGAAATGACATCAAGCAACGGGCAGCTGGAGCATCTACAGGCTCTGCCTGGTTTGCTTGAAACAGCCATAGGTAAGTGAAAAGCCACAAGGTTTATTAACTCTTGGCCTGCTCCAACTCAACGTTGCTCTGTGAATGAAAACATGTTTTTCCCAACTGGTGGTCATTATGATTCTGGCCTTTTAACGAAATAAACAAACAGGAGAGCGAGTTAATCTACATTTTCAAATATTTGATTTGCTCCTGGAATTTATCTGCTTCTCTACTCGCTCGCTTGGCTCCTGTTACCCAACAGAGCCTTGATTCAGCTGGCAGCAACGCGCTGTGTACGCAGTAAGAGCTGTGCGAAGGACAGTTGCTTCCTCTGTTCTTCCACTGCCTGGACGTGTGTGGAAGAATTGCCTCAAGAAGTTGAAAATGGACTTTTCCATATCTGTTCCTTTCTGTTCTCTTTTCTCAAGTCACAGGCGACAGGACAAGAGGAAATGGCCTCAAGTTGCACTAGGGGAGGTTCAGGCTGGATATTAGGACAAATTTTTTCACTGAAAGTGTTCTTAGGCATTGGTATGGGCTGCCTATGGAGGTGGTTGAGGCCCCATCCCTGGAGGTGTTCAAAAGACGGGTTGATGTAGTGCTGGGAGGTCTGGTTTAGTGATGATGCTCCTTGTTTGTTGTGTGGGTGTCTATTTTTGTCAGTGAGGTTGACGGTTGGACAAGATGATCTTTAAGGTCCCTTCTAACCTAGAAGATTCTGTGATTCTGTTTCCCAAATTCCTGAAAACCAGAAACTAAGCATGGTTCTTAACCAAATTCAGTGACTTTTCAAGGTCAGTTTGAAAGAAGCTTTCTTCTGCTAAGAAATAACAAGCGAAGGGCTGTACACAAAGAAAGTCAAGGCAGGGTGGTCCAGAGAGACCCTATATGCTCAGGGAGGAAGTATATGTATACTGACCTGTGCCTTCCTAAATCTTAGCACTTTCTGAGACAGCTGATGTATGCCACTGTTTTCTGAGGAAAATTGTAGCTTTATGGATTTTAAAGAGCAATATGTAACAATTTGGCTAAAAAAGGAAAAAGGCTGAAAGAGCTGTTAACTATGTCTATGAGATGTGCAGAGAGTCCTTGCTGTTAAAAAAAAAAACAACAAGCGACCCCCCAAAAAATCCGAAAAACCGCACACCACCACCAGAAAAAAACAAATAAAAAACCACAACCAAACCTCTGTTTTTGAATTTTTGGTGACAGGTTCATAGTTTTATTGCTTACAGTAAGACGACTACCAACGAGATATGTTTTGTGCACGTGTGTTTTGAGGAAACTCAAAGTCATGCATTGTATCATCCGAGTGCTTGCTCTAAGTCTTTCAACTGAAATGAGAATTTCAAGGAGGTGCAGATGACTGAAGTTTCAGAAGCCAGTGGGCCAGTCCTCCTTGCTCTAGCTGTGCATAGACTACCATGTGCATCCTCTGTATCTCCCACATGCCCTCCACCAACAGGAATGGATCAACTCCTCTAGTTCCTCTTTAAGGCTGCCTTTTGGCAACAAGACTCCTTTCATCCTGGAGCAGCTAAGAGGCTGGAAAACTGTATCGATGTTTTATCACCTGCAGTATTTAGTTCTGAAGACCAGAAGAAAAAGGCTACGTAGTGCAAAAGATTTTCATCACTAGGAAGGTCTTTTGGATTGAGGGGCTTTTTGGAAGAGTTGCTCTTCGGAATAAGAAGAGAAGGGCAGATTGAGGCATCCTTTAGTTGAGAGTGTGGGTGCAACAAAGTCACTGCGTTGTGTTGTTGTGCAGTGTTTGAGACATTGCTGTTCTCTCTGGGTTAGCATCGTGCATGGAAAGTAGCTGCTTTTCTTTAATCTTTTCCTGGACCTCCCTTTCCAGGTAGGTGCATCACTCATTGCATTTTTACCTGCACTGTAATAACATTTTGAAGACTTCTGTTTAGGTTGGTTTTTTTTTTTTTTTGTGGATCTTTTTGGTTTGTTTTATTTTTTTAGTCCTTTAGTTCAGGAGTCCCTCTTAAGGGCAGGCAGAAGGTTTGGGAAGACCATGGAATTCCTTCTTACATGTTTGTGTGTGTATAAAATACTAAGACTATAAGGCAGGGAAGCACACAAAGTGAATGCCACGAGAAGGATGTGAGTGCTGATTTTTATGAGTTTACAAAAGCAAATAAATTTCTATGAAAGAGATTGTGTTAAAAGCTATTTTGTGATGATGTTTTTAGGGGCAACAGGAGATTGATTGGTTTTTCTTCGTTCAAAATACGAACAAATACAAGTGGTAGCTCTCATACAGGAGGCCTCTAGGACAGATTATAGTTTCATATTTTTAAAAAACTACCAAAAACATAGTTACATCCTTTTCAGCACAGAGGGTTTGTTGTTGGTTGGTTTTTTTTTTTCCTTCTCCTGTATCAGCCACCTGGGAGTGAAACTGTAATACAAGGACCTGTAAAATTACCTCTAATTTAAATCCAGGAAATCCAATGCCCATTCCACTATGGATGTTATCACATCTGGAGCAGGGGGAACATATGGCTTAATTACTGCCCTTTGCTGTAACCTGGTTTTGCTGTATCTTTACTGTTCCAATAGAAGTTGCATGAAGCATCTTGGGGATGCTGGCATGACAGGCCATTTATTAGTATTGCAGGTTGCTTAGAGAAGAAACACTTAAGCTTAATTTTTAAATATAGACACAGCCTTTAGTGACTTTGCTAGTATACCCTCTCAGGGGTTCACATGATTTCAGCTTTTCTTCTGGGTGTGCTTTCTTTGTGGAATGTTGTTTTCACAGATTTTAGTTTCTGTCCTCTGGAGCATTGTAGAAGAAAATCCTAGTGGCTGTAAATTAGCATTTACTATATGGGAATGTTGGTATTTCTCAGCTGATGAGATTATGGCACTGAAGGATTTGTAAAGATGTGTCAAGGTGCTAGATGTATTTGAAATCTTTTCTCATACTACAGAGCTAGGAACAGACTGAAGAAGAGAGGAAAAAAAAAGCAATTCTCTAATTTCTATGTGTTGCTGTGACAAATTTGAACTAAAGGAAGTTTTCTAAACACCTTGATTTTTAGAAATATATTTACAGTGCTAGAATCATCAACAGCCTGCAAATTCTGACCCTTCAAGTAGAGACCAATAGAACCAGCCTTCAGACTTCATGTCTGAGTGTGTAAAGGATACAAAAATACCCTCTGACCTTGGGATGGCCTTTTATTGTTATACTAGTGCAAATTAAGAAACCAAGAAAATTTTCAAAGTTCTTTTGACATATTGCTGAATATCGGAAGTTATGTTACTTAACTTTTACTACTAATTGTTAGGTTCAAGCTCTGAGCAAAGTGATACTAATTTTCATGTGTTAGTGAATTAAAATATTTTTGGTTTTTTTTTAGATACCCTGAGATTAACTCATCTTGCTGGGAAACAGGCCGTAAATATTTTCACTGCTACCCATGCTATGACAGGGCAGGAAGAAATTTCACATCCAGCTGTGGGTTTTAAATCTCATCTCATTCGATTGATTGGAAATTTGTGTTACAAAAATAAGGAAAACCAAGACAAGGTAAGTTTATACATTTCTCTGGCAGAACTCAAGATGAAGATCTATTGTTGATGTACAAATAGAGATTAGAATTGGTCACGTAAAGGAGGTACTTCTCTTTTTAGTGTCTTTGAGCTACTATCACAAGTATACTAACTTTATAATAACAACGTGATGTGTGCCTGTCTGCCTTTTACTTCAGTCCTAAAGAATGCAAGCCAGTGCCTAATTCCTTTATTGTTTTCACATTTGCATTTTTTTTTGAAAAGCAAATGTCCGAGATTAAACCTCAGCTTCACTTTGAAGGGAAATGAATGGGAATTGTTGCCTGAACTTAATTTTAAATTCTTGAATTAGTCTCTAGTGCTTTTTCCCTCCCCCTCCTTAAAATTTTCCATGCCACTTTAAAAACACAGGTCTGCTTCCATCAAATCACTGGAAATGGCAGCATATTTTTAAATATGAAACCCTTTTTTCTTAGAGTGATAAAAGATGTGGCTTTCCTTCAGGACTTGTTAGACTAACCTCATTTTAGCAAGAAAAATTCCAGTAGGTTGCTTTTCTTATTTGGCCTGGGCAACCACGTAGTGTATTCCAGTAGCCTTAGATTAGTGAAAGGTTTCTGTTTCTCTAGTTCTTACCTGTGAGTTTCTTGTTGCTGAGGAACCTTTTGTTGATTCCTGTACTTTTCTCTTAGAATTGTCTTTTCTCAGGGCAGCCTTGTTCTGGAAGGAAATGGTCCTGAGTAGCTGTTGTTATTGATATTTGTCATTGAACAGGGAAATTTGTTTTTCCTTTCTTGATTAATTTGGATCAGGTTTCACCTGCTCTCAAGGAAGCAATTTATAGGCTGGAAAATGAAAAACATAGAACAAAGGCTGTATCAAAGAAAGAGTGACAGAGATAATGGAGTATTTTTATTTCTCTCATGTTGTCAAATGAGAGCAAGTACCGTGTCAGCAAGTACCAAAAAATAATTTATACTGGTTACTCTGCAGGAAGTTACATACGATGACATATTCTGAGTCTAATTCTGTGTTGACAAGGAGCTATTTCAACAGAGTGCTGCAAAAGCAATCTGTGTTGGAAGCTTCTGCTTCCTAAATATGTTTTTGTTGTTGATTACTTTGTTTTACAAAGATAATAGATTCTTTTGTACTGATGCCATCAGCTGCTGGTTTCAACTGCTGCAGTACCTACCGAGTTAGACTTCTCTAAAGGCAGCTGGGCATTTTCATAGTGTCTGAGGAAAGGGCTCCCATTTCCTTGTTACTTTTAATGCAGGGCAGAGAAATGGAAAATCTGAGGAATGCTCCCCGCTTTGTCTGACAAATGCTAATAATATGGGCATATAGATGGGAAATATGGTAATGATCCTCCCTTTCCCCATTCATTTTACAGAATATAATATAAGATCTTAGTATTTCTGAAAAACATTATTAATCCTGTTCATCACTCTTGCACAGCTCTGGCTCTGACCCGTTATGATGTAATATTTGTTTATGTAAGTGGAATACATTTTTGTGGAATACCTTATTATAGCAGAGGGGAGGGGGTTGCTTTCATTTTGAAAGGGCTGATTTACTGCTTATTGTTCATTTTTGCTGGGATTTTCAAAGGCCCCTGGAGCAATTAGGCATGCAGGCTTAGTGTTTTCAATGGAAGTTGGGTATTAACTTGCCTTAAACTGCCTGCAAATATTATTGCTTTATGCCGTCTCGAAAATTACTTAGATTTTTGAGTGTGATATCATGGAACATTATTTAAGTGCCGTTGAAACTTTAGAAATGCCAATAGTTTGATATCCTGTCTGTACCTCTTGTTTATTTCATATATTTAAATTGGTTCTAATAAATGCATATGTCATTTTTAAGGCAGTTTCCATCCATAAACACATGCTTGTGAGAACAGGGTAAGCAGCCCATATCATTGCATACATAAGAAGACTGAGGTTTCGAGATGGGAGTGAGTTGTTCAAAGTGTTGCATGTGTCAGTCCTAAAACTGAATGCTAATAGGGTTAATTCTTGGGTTTCCACATCTCTCTTTAGAGTAGTATTTCACAATATAGGTCTTATTTTTTTATCCATTAATGGGTTTACACAGGGTTCTTTATTTTTCTTTATACTTTCTATATTCAATCAAAAGTGATGTAATACATGGTAGATTTTTTTTTTATATATATATATAACGAGCAAACCAACCAACACATCTGAGAGACCTTGGGCTTTACCATTTACCCATTGCTTTTTGGGTAACCCACTGTGTCAATTCTAGGCACAAGCTGGGGAGGTGGCTTTCTCTCCAGTCCCTTTAGTTGGTTGCCTGGCATGTGAGGGCTGCACATCACTTACCAAAGGCTCCTTGACAGCACTGATAGTATTCTGACTCTTTAATGAATTGAGGCTTTCACACTTGTTTTCTGTAATATTTTTCTGTAATTTCTGGTCCCAGTAGAGCTCTTTTCTCAGTAGCGATGATAATGCATTAGAAAATGGAGTAATAGCACACTACTGCTAATAAAAAATCACAGAATCACAGAATCTTAGTGGTTGGAAGGGACCTCTGAGATCGAGTCCAACCACAAAAAAAAAAAAAAAAACCAAAAAAACCCCCCAAAACCCAGGGAAGAGACTCTTCACTTACATTAGATCATGAAAATGAGACCCACTGGTTCTAAAGGGACCAAGAATGATGCTGGCACCATGCTGAAGTATTTATCCCAACAATTCCAGCATCTTTTGCAATTCTCTGCATCGTCTTGGAGACATCATTGCATTTCAGTAGTCCACAAAATGCTTCCTATATAAGCTTATATTGGAATTGCAATAATATCTGCAAAATCTTTTAAGATTCCAGCCAGGATGTCTTCAGAGAAGAACAATGAACTTTACATCCTACCAGCTTCTATCAAGCATCTTTAGAACCAGCAGGAGGTACTTCCTACAAGCTTTTGTCCCTTATGGAATCACCAGCCATATGCCTGTTATTACAATTCAGTAAGACCAGAGCAAGCCAGGGTGGTCTCTAACATACAGATCAAACCCAGTGCAGGAAGATACTTTAAAACATCTAGGAAGATAGGAAGAGAAGAACAAAATTTCTCCATAGGTTCTTAAGACTAACACAGTTATGAGAAGAAATACAGCGCTAAATAAAGACTTTTTCAGACACAACGCTTTCTTATTGCACATTCCTCCACACTGGAAGGAGCCGTGCTGCATTTTCAGTTGCAAACACAGGACACAATCCATCCCTGCCACAGCGCCCTGAAGTCACGAGGACCCCTCGCTTACGCCAAGGAGGACTCGTGTCCCAGCACAGCAGAGACTTGTTGCAAAACCACCGTGATTGCATCCTGGCTCCATCCCAATCCCACTGGCCTTGGCCCATTGATCCACCCTGTCCAGATCCTTCTGTGGAGCCTTCCGACCCTCAAGCAGATCAACGCTCCCACCTAGTTTGGTGTCATCTGCAAATTTACTGAGGGTGCATTCGATCCCCTTGTCCAGATCATCAATAAAGATATTGAACAACAAGATATTGAACAAATGTTGACCCTGTTGTTGAAATATAAACTTAGTGTTTAGTGTTGCTCTGCGTAGTTTGTTCTGAAAATCTAAGTAGTCCCCAAAGTCTTGAGGCTTGAACGGTTGCTTGGGCTAAGCCCTCCGAAGTGGACAGAGTTGCATTCCTATCTTCAGGAGCTTCTTCAAGAGTTGAGTGACAACAGGAGCTTCTTCAAGAGTTGAGTGACAACCTGCTCGTTCTCTGGGAGGTGGGTCTTGAGCCAGCCTATGTCTGAAGTAGGATGGTGCAGTCTTACTGCATGGGGTGGGAGAGTTAAAGGAACAGCCCATGCCTGGAGTGGGAGGATAATTGCTCTGTAAAGGCTGCTTCTCCGTCTCTGTTTATGGTCTCTACCTGCTGTAAGAACAATAATTGCAGGGGATTAGTGCACTGGTTTTTTTTTTGCCAGTGGTGAAAAACCTTGTAATGCTTTGGAACACAGAAATGTCTTACTATACTGCTTCTTCACTATCCTTTGTTTTTAAAAAGCATTCTTGAGCTTGTACTCTTGTTGGCATTAGGAATTAATTCTTTACATCTTTTCTTTCTCATAGTTTTATTTACACTAGTATGACAAGTTCTTTAGATATAAGGGACTAGGCAGACATTTGAGCTGTAAACTGAGATGCTTTTTTTAAAATGGGTCTTGCCAGGCTTACTGCCCACTTGGGTATTTTATGAGGCTGGATGGGTTGGTATTGGTAAGAAAAGTGTCTGATAAAATGTACATTTGGATAAATGTTGGGTACTGAGAAGAGGAGAAATGAACAAATAAGTGGGACACTTAGGACATCAAGTGTTGAGCTAGTTCTGTGTTGAACCTGACAAGAGGCTGCAATGGATGTGCAGTTCTCCTGTGCTTTCTCTCTCTGTAGGAGAACAGCCTGTCAAGTTATCATCATAAATGTGGGGCATGTACTTTTGTGATGTCTCCTTCACAAAGATGCATTGTTTTCTCTCTCTGTAGGAGAACAGCCTGTCAAAAGTTATCATCATACATGTGGGGCATGTACTTTTGTGATGTCTCACAACACATCTGTGTGAAGATGTTATTATTAAATACATTGGAGAGAGGTGGGTTGTCCGGCCGAGCAAGGAGTGGAAGCTTTGGCTGGTTGTTATTGAATGAAGTTATCAGAAGGAAAAAGTGGAAATTACTCCATACTCCCCTCAGCAGATGTTATTATTAAATACATTGGAGAGAGGTGGGTTGTCCGGCCGAGCAAGGAGTGGAAGCTTTGGCTGGTTGTTAGGAATTAATTCTTTACATCTTTAAAAGTGGAAATTACTCCATACTCCCCTCAGCTTGTTTGACTTGCCTTCTAAACACCTCAGTTTTATCATCTGGACAGAATTTATACTGGTTGGGGGCGGGAAGAAGCTTTAGGCACTTATTTTCCCCTATTGCTTCTAAAGCTGTAAAGTGATGTATTCGGTGCAGCTCTTTCTGCT